AAAATGTGTTCTGCACTATCTTTAAAATATTGATTTCTTAATTTTGGGCTGGAAAAGTGGGAGTCATCTTGTACATGGGGCGTCTTATTGTCGGAAAAATACGGTACATATGAATAGATTTCTTTTTCCCCATTTCTTCAAAGCTTCATACATTTTTCCAGTGCTGAAGAATAAGACTTAGCTATAGCTTATGAACAAATCACTTACCAATGTAGCTTACTGTGGATGATTATAATGAAATATGGCTACCATTTATTGAAATGCTTGTGTACAACTTTATATATGCATATCTATTCATGAATGTATACTTGGTGTTTTTGTTTTTTTCCAACTTTCTGTATTTATTTCTTCTTTTTTAAAAAAAATGGTTAATAAAAGCAACAACAACAAACCAACCTTGCATAAATTTTATATATTTAGTGTTATACATAAAATAAAAGGTTCACTGAGCCTTCTCGGTCTCCAGGCTGCTTTGATTTAAATGTCAGCAGTACTTACCATCTTTCCACATGCAGATCAGTACATGCAATTAGCTCAACTATTGTGTGTGAAACAGGTCATTGTGTTTTAATATAATTATTATTTTTGTTGATGAGGCTTCCTTGAATATATTTATATAAAAAGGTGGTATACAAAGACCAATATACTGCGATAGCCTCTTAGATTCTAGAGGACTAGAATCTAAGAACTAGCTAGAATAGAGTTCTAGCTTAGATTCTTTGCTGATTGTGACTGCCTCTGCCACTGCAAACTTTCTGTCCCTGCACACCTTTTACTTACTAGCAGGCAGATTCTTGCTTTTGATTGAATGTTAGGAAAAAGAGCAATTTGGCAATGGAACCAATTACCCAGAGAACTGATAGATTCCCCTTTACTGGATGTATTCAAGCAAAACCTGGACAGCTATATGTTGTGGATTCTTTAATTTGGATTCTTGCATAGAGTGATGGATCAGACTGATGGCTTAAAATATCACTTTCAACTCACAGAAACATTACTGTTGCCACTGGTTACCCTTTTAAGTTAATGTTGAATTAATGTACTTGGTAAATGAGAGGTCATTGGTAGTGAAACTAGTGACACTAGGTTGTATCCAGTGGAATCTTTTTATCAGTGGGGCAAATGGCAAAAAGGATGTAATTCTTATACCTTTGTACCCTAAAGCAAGGGAGCACTTCTAAGAAAAACAACAGAATTTGAAATGCTCATGCAGAATCAAGACCACCTGTTAGGCATATGTATATAAACTGTTACTTAGATATGACATGGAGACAGAACAAATCAAACACTGTATGATGTGATGCAGAACTTCAAAGAAACAGTCACAGTACAACTATGGAAAGAAGTATGGAACCTCCAGGTTTGAGTACAGATACAAGAGGCATTTTTAGGGGAAAGGAAAAGTCCAAGTACATAAGTACTGAATTCTTGTATAAGTATATACATATCCATTAGTGTAAGCTGGATTTTTCTTTGAATAGAACTTCTTTATGCATTTTTATAAACAAAGATATCTTGTTTAAGTATTGAATTTATATTAGTTATGATAGGAATAATGGATTATGTTACCAAAATGTAATTGCATCTATTTAGTTCATTATGTATATATTTGTTTTCTATCCCATTATATCTCCAGGGAAACAGTATGCGTTTCAGCATGTTTCTTACTGCCCATCAAGCTTCATGTTTAATCTAATCATATTTTTTTAGATTCTTTTAATTAAACAAATTAACAGGAAGCTAGCACATTGCAAAACATCAACCTCAAGAAAAATTATGAAGAGACTGTATTATGCTTTTCATTAGAGCATTTCACTGACTGCTGGTTCATTTCAAGTCAAAATAGTGCTAATCATTACCTTTAAAATGCTACATGGTTTGGGTCCTGGCTATTTGAGAGAGCATCTTATTCTATGCAAGCCTCCATACTTAACTGAAATAAATTAAAGAAGTTTGCCTGTAGTTGCTGTGAGCTCATCTGGTGGCAACTTGGGAGCAAACCTTCTCCATTGCTCCCCAAAATCTTTGGAATGCTCTCCTGGCAGTACTGAGGGGTCCAACATCTTTATTAGCTTTTTAAAAGTCCCTTAAAATTAAATTGATTGATTGATTGATTGATTGATTGATTGATTGAAGGACTATTCTGTCTTATTTGTTGTTTAAAATAGCAATTACAACCATTTTAACGGCTGAATTATTTATTTATATAAACAGATAAGAGTCTTTAGTAGTTGGCAGTATACGTAGGTAGGTAGGTAGGTAGGTAGATAGATAGATAGATAACTAGCTATTACAACCGAATGTCTGGGTCACTTCCACATACAGGTAGTCCTCATTTAGCGACTGCCTCATTTAGTGATTGTTTGCAGTTACAATGGTGATAAAAAAGCAACTTTGCCCCCAGTCCTCACATTTACAAGCTTCTCAAGTCCACACATCTTAAAGTTACCGAGGTTGAAAACTGCTTTAAAGGTAGAGTTACAAGAGCCATTATAAGCCATCTAGACAGGCTAGAAGAGTCTCCTCTCTAAATGTGCTTAAAGCATGTTGTTGCATTCAGATTACAACAAGCAGTATGGATTCATTTTTGGCTTGGGCTGTTAATTTTTATCTTGCTCTGTATTTACTGTATAGAAAATTTCATTTCAATGTTAATTTGCCTTTGAATATGATTTTGCTGAGAGTCATTGAGTGTAGTTCACTGAGGAAAAATGGTATCTAAATAAACTAAATGTATCAAACTGACAGTTATGAATGCTTCACGGGCAATCATCTTTAAAGTAATATATTCTTGCTTCAGTTTAAAATAGAATTTGATAGATACATTTGGAATGTATGAATATTTTTGGAATAAAGTTATGTTGCAGATTTTATTATGGTTTTTTTTAAATTCTAATTAATATTTCTTGGACATCTTTTTAAAGTTAGAAACAGAGACAAACTGGTTTCTGACAGAAGATTTAATAAAATGTATATGCTGTTGAAATGTATAGTGAAGGCTGAATGTATTAGCAAAAAGAAGAAGAATGTACTTCATGCTTCCTATTCTTTTTGCTAATAGTTCTAATTCACAAGCCATTCTAAATAGCTTTCTGTCATGAATAAAACTTCATAGTTCAGTCAAACAGATATATAGTTGTTGAATTTAAAACCTAAGAGGTTCATTGACTTGAGGATCTTTAGAATGCTTGACTTTGATTTTAAAAAGATACACAGACAAATGGATCAACACATCCAAGAGAATTTTGGATTTCGCATTTTTCAAACAGCAACCTGTGTGCTATACATCAAACTCTTTTATGTTTGTTTGTTTAATGAAAAGAACTGCAAGAAGAGTTTCATGTCATGGCATGAGGATGTATAGAAATTTTATGACCAATAGGTACATCTGAAATCTTTATCTGATACTATGGGATAATTGAATATCCATGTGCCATAGCTCCATGGCAGAGAATGTTGGACTAGAGGCTCATACTGGAACAACAAATGGAAGCTGTCACTAAGAGGTTCTTTGCCCACCTGTGGCTGGCTGGTGTGGTAATTACAACCTTTTCTCTAGCAACACTTACCCATGCCCTTATCTTTTTGCTGGATTATTGTAGTTTGCTCAATATGGGGCTATCCTCAAGGATGATTTGGAAGGTAGAGCTTGTAGAGAATATAGCTATCTGCTTGCTGACCAGTAAACACTGAAACAGCAAATGAGTAATAACACAGGAGCTTCACCGGTTGCCAGTGGGCTTACGAGTTCAATTCAAGCACTTCTTCATGACTCCTTATTATATTTGCAACTGTCTGTTCTAAATAGAATCTTCCCACTCATTCCTTTCTGGTGGAGAGGGTAGTCTAATCATCCCTCCTCCCTTGAGACGTTGGGGGAAGGTACTCAGAAGCAAGCCTTCTCAGTAGCAATCTCCTTGCTCTAGAATAGTTTCCCCCACTCCAGGTTAGAATGGCCCCTTAGAATGGCATGATGTATTGAACAGTTGTGTCTAAATAATGAAATAATTCTCTACTTATTTTTTATTGCAGAATGTTATTGGATGGTATAGGTTTAGGAGGAATACTCAACAACAAATGTCATATAGAGAACACATCATCCATAAACAGCTGACGCAGATCCTTGGAGTACCTGACCTTGTCTTCCTTCTCTTCAGTTTCATCTCCACCGCAAATAATTCTACGCATGCTTTAGAATATGTCCTTTTTAGACCAAATCGAAGGTAAATGATTTCTATTATATGGGGGAACTACTTGAGCTGTACTTTTAATAAAATAATAAACACAGGAAAAAAGTGAATTATTTCAGATATCAGTTTTAACCCTAGTGTTGAGTTTTCAAAAAGCCTTTTTCATATCTGCATACTCAGATAAAATGCAAGTTGTTGTCTCTCTGTCCTACTCATTTAGGATTCACAAAATGGTTCCATTTTACTCTACTTACCAAAACTAAGCAAAATTAACCACTATTTATTTAAAAATATGTTAAATCAATACAATTTAACCTGGTTAGTTAACAAGTTTCTCTGGCTTCATATGTATGGCTGGATCCCACCATGGTATGAGTCTAACCAGGGATAGGCAACGAGTAGGTGTTTGAATAGCATAGCTGTGATCAGGGTTTGTGAAGCTATTGAGAAAATGCCAAGTTGCCTATGGCTGTACTAAAATTATTTTAACTACAGAAAAAATCCATAAGTATATAATATAGTATGGAAATTGTCATAGGGTTCCAAAGTTAAATTGCAAAATATTGACTGGAGGTGTATGAAACATATACTTGTAGAGCTTAAATTTAGGTAACAGTGTTAGGTAGAATCTTAATTTCAAACATTAACCATTTGTGTTGGTCAGGTGAACTCTACTATGCTTCCTAATTGTGTAGTAGGTAGCTATATTATCAGATTATTTGCTAGAAAATCTTCCTATATGTCCCTTCGATCATTTCTTTTCTTCATTCAGAACTTCATTCAGATACATTTTGCTATGCTGTGGGTTTATTTCTTAGTCCAACTTGTAGGTTGCTAAGATTCTAGCATGCCATGAAAATTACTTTGGCTCTCTATATGATTTTATTGTAAATAGAGTTACAATTTGCAAGATTTAATCAATATAGTAATTAATTAAAGGTTTAGCTGAAAAACAGTGGGAAACCATTTTAATTAATGGAATTGAGAGATTTATTATTTTCTGTTCCTTGTTTTTTATTGAAATATTTTTCTTCTAGTCTATTTCTCTAATTGGGACTAAGGAAAGAAATTATTTAATATTTTTTTTGACCAGAAGGTGTAATTTAGAGACTGATAAAAAAGCAACCCAAATTTGTGCATTCCTTTAATATTGCAAAAAAGCATGCATGTGGGAGTGTTAAGATTAAAAGTTGTCAACTATCTAGGCAATTGTTAAATTGATAGACACTCCAGATTCAATTTAAACATTATAGCTAACTATAGATACAGTTAATAGAGCCTCTTCTTCCCAAAATTAAAAACATTAATTTTCTGGTTAACTTGAATTAGAATGTGCTTAGAATCTCAGGAATTTCTGTGAAGGATATTAATTATCTGAACTTTTTTTGTAGGTATAATCAAAGAGTGTCACTTACTATTCCTAACCTGGGCAACACAAGCCAGCAAGAATATAAGGTCTCTTCAGTGCCAAATACTTCCCAGAATTATACCAAAGTTATTAAAGAACATGGGTAAGCAATGTTTCAATACATGTCATACAACATTAATATGACCAGGATATCCTGCACATAAAATATATGTGCAGATATCTGCAGCATATAGATTCTTACAGGTATTCCTCAACTTATGACCACAACTGGGATCAGAACTTCTGTCACTAAGCAGTGTGGTCATTAAGTGAGTCACACCTGATTTTACAACCTTTTTTGCCACAATAATTAAGTAAATCCAGCTTCCCCCATTGGCTTTGCTTGTTGGAAGCCCCCTGGGAAGGTCGCAAATGGTGATCATGTGACCCTGGAATGCTGCAACCATTGTAAATACATGCTGGCTGCAAGTGTCAGGTTCAGCCCAAAGAACTCCACGAGACAGTGCAAATATAGTTCTGTTGCATTTATTAGCTTCCACCTCAAGACAGAAATCTCTCCAGACTGAACCTAAGTTCCCAAACCAGCAAGTCACAACACTGTGAACACCTTAGGATGGTGCCAGTCTCATCTTCTTAAACTTCCCACACTCCTGTGAGGGCTAAGGAAACACTTATCTCCCTGAGCGTGGCCTTCATAACACCATTCCATCACACCAAGCACCTAAATTTTGATCATGTGACCACAGGAATGCTGCAATGGTTGTAAGTGCAAGGACCATTGTAAGTCACTTAGTGCCATCATAACTGCAAACGGTCATTAAACAGATGGTCATAAGTCGAGGACTACCTGTATGCCTGTCTTTTATGGTTATATTTTTTGTCGGTACAGTAAAATAATGGGAATGAGGAGAAATGAAGAAGGTACTTCTTCAGTAGATTACCTTAGGGAAGAAATATTTCTTCTAGATAATCACTTTAACAGCAGGCTGAGGAAAAATAACCGATCTGCAAACAGCCATAACAGCTGGTACTTAGTGTATGGCTATGTAAAAAATATAAATTGACTTAAAGGGTAACAGGGAATGAGTAAGATATGATTATGATTTATTTCTAATACGTTATGTTTCACATTTTTAGTACTGATTTTTTTGATAAAGATGGAGTGATGAAGGACATCAGGGCTATATATCAAGTTTATAATGCACTTCAGGAAAAAGTACAGGTAACTCCTTTTATTTTAAAATCTGGCAACCTTTACTGTACTGACTTTTCATGCTATAATAATGTATAGGAGGCTATTTTGTATTTAAAATATGTTTTAGATATAATGTTAATATTTGAAAATTTTGCAAATTATGCTTTAGTTCGCTTAAAGAACAGATTTTGTTAGAATAGGTAGTAATATAGAATAAGTACTAAACCTGCTTTAAGATTAAAAGTACATTGCCCAAAAGCTCAATAAAGGCAAATGAAAATAATTTGGTTCAGATCTCATGGTAATAGTTGCATGGGCAGAATGCTGAATCTCTGTAGCTGCATTCAAGGGCAGGAATTTGTTTGGATTAGACTGCAAGATTGGACTCCTATGTATAATACATAATAGCTCTTTCTGTTAAATATTTCATAAGGGATCTTAAAGGGATGCATAGTACAATTTGAGCAACAAAAAAAATTAATTACATTTTCAGTACACACCGCTCCTTTTATTTTAGCATCTTTAAGTCCCATTTCCAGTTCCTTTGTCTTCCCAAGAATTGGATTCCAATTATTTCAAAATCAAGTTACTTACATCCATAAGTAGTGACCCAATTACATGTTGGGAATATGGATGGTAGCATTATGAGTGAAATACCATCCAGTCATGTATAAGGTGGTTGTCTCATTCACTACTGAGTCATGGCCACTTTGTGCCATGAAATTCATTTCAGAAATAATTTAAAGTAAGGGATACCTGATGAAGTACAGCTTGCTTTAACAAGATGCGTTTACAGAACCTCCAAGTCAGTAGGCCTGAACTCTGCATTACGGTGTTATTTTTTATCATTAATCCTACAGTAGACATTTAACCAGAATTACGGATGGTTTGGTGTGAAATGCCAATCTTGTTGTGGTAATTGGTATCCATATAGTTTCTTCTGCATCAGAGGTGGGCAGAAGCAGTTGAATAACCTTGTTGTGTTTCTCCTAGGCAGTATGCATAGACGTAGAGAAAAGCGAGCGAACTGTTGAATCTTTCCAGGAGGAGGTGAATAAGCTAAAAAGACAAATCTCACAAAGGAAAAATGAAAAAGAGCAGGAAATAAGTAAGACTCTCATGTAAATCTTTTAACTCTCTTAGAAAATTGATATAGCAGTCAGCTACATTAATCTCTATTACGCTCCTATTATTTAAGGGTGGTGAAATAAGTGAGTTGTTGTTTCAGTCTATATCCCACTGTTCTGCCAATGAAATACTCATTTTTAATGACAATGCCATAAAACTACTTTAGGAAATAATTTTAAGTGAATGGTGTACCTTCCTAATGCAGACACTGATAGGCAGACACAGCCATGGGACAGAGAAATGTGTGCACCTGAGCATACATTATGTTAATGAAGTATATGATTTTCAGTTAGATCTTCCTCTTTTATCATGGCTGGAGCTTTGAGTTTTATAGGCTTTCCCTACTGTACCTGCCTTCAGTTTTGAAGTTAGAAAGGAGCCAGATACTTCAGTTACATAATGACTGAATTCAGTTTTATATGTAATTTCTATTAGAGAAGGAACAGGATAAGCTTAGATGTAACTCCAGTCCAGTGCTAATATTTTAGCTGGTGAGCTATGCTAATTGAATACACAATGAAGAAATAGTGAAGAGACCTAGGATTAAATTATTCAAGTTTAACATATTCACTGAAAAGGCCATAGAGTTTTAGCTACAGTATATAAGTAAGGGATACAAATTATAATCTTATAATTGAGAGATGCATTCTGTTCTATATGGTTCTAAATAAACTGTCTCCTTGAAATATGTTAGCTTAGGCTTGCACTTCTTAAATTCTAGTTAAGAACCATTTGGCAATATACTTGATGTCATTTATAAATAAATAGCTGACTGGGAAGCCATGTTTTTTTTTCCATTTTGTAGATAGATCCACACCAGTTTACCTTACAATGAGCAACCTATTAAATAATTCAAGTAGGAACCAGTCTGTTTTGTATTACAGCACTTTATCTCTTTTGTGTTGCTCAAAACATTAATTTAAATATATCTTCTATATTAGCTGGGGATTTAAATTAGATGGCATGCTCTGGCAAACTAAGCAGAAAATTAGAGGATGAAACAAGAAGGTGAGTAAAGAAGAAACAGGGCTGGAGGATATATGGATTGAGAAATTGAACTGACTATATATTGGGGTAATAAATTGACAGAAAATGGTGTGTGACAGGAATAGAAACATACATAGTGAGAGCTGCAGCCCTGTGGAGAGTGCTTTTCCAAATTTGGGTTATGACATATCGCATATTACATTTCTATTCAACTCACTACTGTTGTCCTATTATGTCCTGAACTACTACAAGCACACCGTTGCCCATAGATGTTACTCTTCAGCAATATTCCAGTATACTTACTGAATGTATATGGGATGGGCAATTAAATAAAAACCCTGAGTGTCAGAAGAATAACATATATCCTTCTGGTAGTACTTGTATCAGACAGGACTCGGTTATGGAAAGTAAATGTAACAGTCACAGGATTTTCCACATAAATGCAAGCTTTGGCAAGTGTAACAAACAATCTATATCTGAATTTGCCTTGGATCTTTAGATAAAAGGGCCTTTGGTTCCCTGAGAGGCCCCTCACCTGTGCTGGTGTCATTCCTATTAAAACAAACAGGTGAAAAAATGAACAAGCAAATAGGAAGCACTAGAGGAGGAAGAAGATGAGACCATCCAGCCTGGTGTGGTGGGTGATTTCTCAATTAATTTTCTCCCCACCCCATCCCCCATTTATAATTGGTTTGCCTGCTGTCATGACAGGAATCCATCAGTTTTGCTTATTTGTATACTGCTTAATATTATCTTAAAGAAAACATCGAGAAATATAAATCACTGTATTGAGAGGAAATATATAACTTGAATATATCTGCTATATTACCAGCATTGAAGTTCAGCTGGTATGTGAAAGTTCAAAGTGATCAGAGAAATTGAATTTTATCCATTCAATTCATGCAAGCCATAATGAAATAACAATAGCTTAGATGGCATACAAGAGACTAGCAAAGGTGTCTGTGGCAACATGTGTGTGGTGCTTCATATCCAGCTTGAAACTACAAGCTGAAGGTTCACTAAATGGCAGGGCAATAATAATCCTCTGCGCTTTGTCATAATGGTAGTAGTGTTTCTTCATTAATTCTGCGTATTACAGTAGATAGCATAACCATTGAACAATTTAAAAAATAGAGAACTATTTTACCATACTACAGAGTAAGGAGCTGTCCTAATGTAATTATGCCACAGATACACCGTGAATGTCCATGCTGTAATACTGTATTGCAGTCATAAGTGATGCAGTGGAAAAAGGATGTTGCATTTCCCTAGGTAAAAAATTGTGGATTGTTTCCAGATTACCCACAAACATGACTTCAGTCATGAGAGTTCTTACTGAAGGAATTGGGAAAGGAGACTATATTCTCCAATTTTCCTTTTTCTCTGAAAAACTGTTCCAGAGATTTGCTGAAACCTCTAGCGGTATGAAAGGAATTCATGGAGGAATACATGGTGAAAGCTACGTTCATTCAGTACAGAGTCTGCTGCATCTTGATTCCTTCTTTGAATGAAGGAGAGATCTGGATTTGGATTCAGTTTGAAGTGCTTTTAGTGTTCAAAAATGGCCATATCCCCCCAAGAGTAGATGTCCAAAATTTATTTTACAGAAAAGATTGTGTAGAAAATTCCTAAATCCCTATGCATACATTTACAAATGTTACACATATTTTAAGAGGATAAAGTTTGCAGAAAGTCTTGATAGTGTATATATTGTATAACACTTCTGAAAAACAAAGGCTTTTCTGTCAATATGGCTTATTTTCCACTTCCTCTTCCCTCTCAGAGTATAGTGGTCTGAGGAACATAAGACCGGAGCACACAGTGCATTTGCCACGGAGATGCCATCATAAACAGAATGCTTGCTTAGCAGTTGTAGCTTTCCTTCCAAGAGTTAAGAGATTTATGACACATGGGAGGTTGCCAAAGTAGACATACTGATATCTCCACTGGCATCTCCTAGTAATGTGGGGGAAGGATGCCAAGATATGCATACTAACATTCAAAGTGGTAATCTACAAAATATTGTACCACAAAAGGACCTGGAAAAATTGGCACCAGGACGCAATTTGTGGTGACATTTGGATGACAAATGAATTGTGATCCAGCTACCTGTTAAGTTGAAAAGCAGGAAAAGCTGCATAGTTTTTAATTCAGATGGTCTTTGTAACAGTGAATATAAAGAATTAAGAGATGTGAAATATCAGTGTAATGTTCTAGTGATTCAGGTCCCATTAGAAGTTCTATTGCTCTTGGTAGGTCATTGTACAGCAACTGTTAGGCTGCAACTTAGGGTCTCCTTAAAAAGAAACTAGAGGTTGCAGCTTTGATTCTGCTGAGTTACTTGAAATTAAGCTATCTGAAGAATTCAGTCTACTCTTGCATCAATCTAGTCCTCTATGTTATAATTGTGATTGATTGTTAGATAGATAGATCCTATATATTCTCTACTGTTAACTGTACTTTTCTTTTTTGTTTGTGTGGAAAACCCTTAAAGCATGTATGGTGATCCATTGTGAAAGTTGTGTTCCTGCTTGTCCTTCAAAAACCCTACCAGTTGAGTTAATTGAACTAAGTATCTCCATTTAAGTTAGGCCAATCAAATAAAGGCGGGATATAAATGTAAATCATGCTAGTACTAGCAAAGTAATTTATAAGAAAATAAAGTTCAATTTATATTTGATGTTCAAAATTGGAAACTTTTCACTTAAATAATTTGCTTACCGGTTGAGTATATAACTTACATGTTAAGTTCCTTTCCCATTTATATATAGACAATTTTCCACAAACAGGTCAGAAGATAACTAGACTAATTGTCTTGATCTAACTGGTTGGCATTTACAACCTTTACTTTTACACTTTTCTAGGATTACAACAGACTATCTTAAACAGGCAAATGTCAAATGATACCTTGGAGCCTATATTTATCCCACAAATAACACATCCTGGATTTGTTGTGGAAAGTAATCTTGAAGAATCAGATGCTTCTGATCCTCCTCCTCCTTATGCTGACTTCAGTGTGATCAATCATGACAATGCTGTACGTCCTGGGGTTTTAGAAAGCAATGTTTTTATGCCTCGACCTCAAGCAGTGGGCTCTTCTAGTTATGCTTCCACAAATGCAGGATTGAAGTATTCAGGCAGTGGAACATCCATGCCACCTTGTTCCCAAACCACCAACGATGATAATGTTAATGAATCAGAAGACAGTGACTATGAGAATTCGCTTGACCCTACAGAGTCTTCTGACAGTGAATATACACAAACAAGAGATTCTCGATCCTTAGCACATGTGGATGGAGATTCCAGGAACACTCAAATCTCTCAGATTTAATATAGAGCTTAACATAGGACTATCTTTCCTAATTGTTACAGAAATATTTTGGAATTTAACTTTGAGAAAATGAGCTACAAAAGAGGATTATTGTGCACAGCAGATATAAAAGACTTGAACTTAGATGGCTTATTCACTTTGATACAGTTTTACAAGTTTTGTAATGGAACCATGAAGATAATCAACCTGTACTGATTGATGAGATTCAGGATGTACTGGTAAATAAGCAAAGTGAAATTTGAAACAGTTGTAACTTTTGTTGCCATACCTTCCATAAGAAAAAAAGGGGGGATTTAGCAACTAAGCATGGTCTCTAACGATCTTAAATCAAACCTTACCTCGTGTACTATCATGCCTTGAATTTTAGAGAGGTTGTTTCTAAGAACTTAATTCAGCAGGCTTTTTAATGATGAAGCCAAAAAATCATTGCCAGGAAAAAAAAAAAACAACCTTTAATTCCAAGAAGCCTGATTGGAACAAATGTGAATTATCCTCTCTGCATGCTCTGTCAATAGAGATGAGGTTTGTTTCAATCTTTTTCTACAGGCCTAATGTAAATCACTTGACATTATGGTTGCCTTTTTATGTAGAAAAGCGATTACCAGTAAATCATCTGTGAATGTCCTAAGCATACTACTTTGACGTTGGTGGATTTAATGTGACTTTGCCACTCTATCCTTACTGTCTCAGTTTTGTTCATAACACATGAAAGCACATAGTGGAAGTGGTCAGTTACGTCAGAATTTTGTATTAGAAAACTATAAATGCTGAACGTTTAATGAAGATAAGCTCTTGCAACTTGTTTGCAAAAATGCCCATACCTGCGCTTAACCCGAAAGTTTCCTCTTAAATTTACATTGTAATTCTTATTGGGAAGGGGGAAACTTTGCGATTTTGGAAGCATGAAGCAGATTTTTGCTCAAAATATATTTGGATGCACTTATTTCTTTATTATGTTTGCAAGGTTGGTGGAGGTTTGGGGGTATTTTTTAGCCCCCAAGATAAAAAACAGTGCAATTTAAGCATCCAATTTGGCTTTTCTTTCAGTTACCAAACAGTGAACTGTTCAGTCTATGATATGTGTTTTAATCATACATGATTCTACTCCTCATTAATATGCAAGCTCCCCCCCCTTTTTTTTAGATGTCAGACTGCCTCAAGCTAAAACCTCAATAGCTAAGCAGTCTGAGATCTATTTATTATTAGTCTCTCTGTGTCTCTAATGAGTAAAACAAAATAGCATTTAAATGATTTATCTCCTTGGATATTTGAGACTGTAAAACATTTCTGTTCCACTACTTAATATATTCTTTGGCCTTAACATGATGCATTTTGTTTTTCATTGCTGTAGTCTGTTCTGATTAACAAAAAATATTTGGATTTTATTAACTTTGGGTATACAAGCTACTATAGTGCTGGTTTGTTCAATAAGTGCTGTTGCCATCTCATCAGTTCATTTGAGAAATTTTTAATCTTGCTCAGAAACTTTTAAATGTACATCTTTGACAAAGGTAAATGTGACAATAAAATCTTATTTAATCCTTTATCTTTTAATATTTGTCAGCAGGGTTCCATTATAGCAAAATCATGTATCTGCAAATAAAAATTATGTTATTTTGTTTCACATGAAACAAATTATTGAAAAAATTGCATATTTGTCCCTACATTAGCAGACAGTAAAGTGAAGCATGCATATGATTGCGGTATGTATGCAATAGTACCAGTGTTTAAATGTTAATTTATTCATGCCTAACAAACTACTACAAAAATTATTGCAGCCAATGTTATTTTTACTTCAGTAGTATTCCCAACCACTTCTGTGAACACTTTCATTTACTATATACATTACTTATAGGTGAATAGTTCTATTGAAACAGTTGTTGAATCACAGCATTGCTTATTAAAAGGCATTTTTACAAAGTCAGAAGCCAGAAAACTAAGTTTATATTGGTGATTTTGATTGTAAGTTATCAAGGAAACACTGCAGTGACTAATACTGCAGCCCAACACACATTCAAGCTCAGTTATATTTCTTAAATCAGTCGGTCTAAAGCTGAAGATATGCCCTGTGGTTTTTCCTTGAGCTGTGACTGATTCTGTCTGTTCTGCTTGTGAAGTTTTAACACTGAGGTGTGGGGTTCTCTTCAGATGCTACCACGGAAAAGCCAGTGCAGGTCCATCTGGGCTCTGAATCTGCCCATTTAGCCCCACCCTCAGTGCAGTGCATCCTTCTGACTCTATGAAGCAGGGAAAGGCAAGTGCTACTCCTGTTACCAGTGCACTCCCAATATTTCTATTAATGTTCACCAGGGTCCCTGGCTCACTTGATGCTAAAAGGTTCTTTTAGCAAAATAATAATAAGCTGGTGGATTACAAATCAAAGCACCGAACTCTAGTACCATATTTATGTAAAGCATGGCTTTGGCCCCACTGGGCTGATCATGAGCATCCTGGGAAGCTAGTTCACCCTCTGGTAAATGCCCCTTTTGTGAATCGGCAAGTCTCCCATGGCAGTCGTTTTTGTAAGTGCAGGCATCATATGTTCTTAAAATTCCAGGTGTGCTCCTGGTCCAAAAGATTGCCTGTCCAAGCAACAAAGGCCCTTTACACAAGTAAGGACCCTATATCTGAAAGAGGATTTAGGTGCTGTATTGTAAAATGCTGGTATCTTTCTGTGTTCTGTTTTACAGGTGATTTTCTCCTCTGAGTTTGCACTTCTTTATGCCCTGTTGAGTGCCACTCTGGACTTGTTCTTGACATTCAGAATTGTTGGTTTAGTCACCAACAAAGGGCCAAATTACAAACAGTTATAGTGCACACATCATAACCTTCATACAAGCAGTGAAACTAGAAAAATAGATAGGAAGGAAATAGACTATCCAATGATTATCCAATTTAGCAGATGATAGGGAAGATGCTATTCTTTACTTCTTTTCTGGAAAATAATTTGAGTACAAAATAAAGTATTGAATATAATTTTGACAGCAACATGAAAAATATTTCAAGGAACATGTTCTGTCAATGGCCAGTTCTGTAGGACAAAACATATAATGCAGTTAAGGTAATAAATATGGTGGTTCTTAAAAGAAAGCAAGGGAATATAAATAGGCCTTATATTAGAATATTTCTTTCCTATTAGTAGATATTGGGCACTATCTTGGTGCCACTTCCATGGCCCCATCTCTTCCTATTTTGACTCTCAATTGATACATGCCTGGATTCATCTTATTTCCTAGTGTTAAAGGTTTACTTTGCTGAAATACTTTCTCAAAAGCAAAGCTGGTCCAGAAAATCCTCTGACCTTCCCCAAGTGTAATTACAACCAGGTCAAACCAATTGGTCTCATAGCACTTGCAGAATTTAAAGCTGTATCAGCTCTTTCAGGTGGCCTCATTGTTCCAGGTCAGTGAGGAGGGACCATCCTTTTCATAGCTTTCTGGTTCTATCATGGCCTTAGTATGAAGTGAATATGAAAAGTTTGATTTCAGAGGCTTGAAAGAGTGTAATGTCTTCTAGCTATTTACCAAAAAGTCTCTGCACTCCTGAGAATTACAGATTTGTGTATATATGTGTGTAAGAGAGAGAGAGAATAATTCTTAAAGCACAGCCATTGTTAAGTGTCATGCTCCATGGACTACTTCTAATCTGAAGTTTTAAATGTTTATTAAAAATATCAAGATCCAAATCACATCTTTATAGAAGTTCTTAAATGATATTGGTAGGTGCTCCAACATTCATTTTATTTGAATTAGAAATACGTAGTTTAAAAGCAGTATGAATTTAAAAAAAACCTTTTCATTAAAGCTATACTCTGCAATTCAGAAACAAAACTTTTAACTAATTTTTCTCTGTCAACTGATCTGCTATGCGTTTATTTCCAAAATATAATTATTCCAAAAATATATATAATTACTCCAAATTATATTTTTAAAGTCTCTGTTCAAAACAGTTGGGAACAAAGAAAAGTATGCATGACAACTGAGCTGTTCAGAAAAGCATTTGGCATGTTTCAGACCTATGATGAATTTAGAATTATTCTTTCCAATTTCTTTTGAATCTCACTGAGGCAGTATGGTCTGTCATAATACTTGTATTGTTCTTTCTCAGTGTCCAGTGTTCTGGCACACCCGTTAGACTTAATAGGTTCCACATTTTTGCATGATGTACACAAAGATTCAGTCAATGCACTAAAGTCAATGCACTAAAGGTAAACTTCCTTGTATTCTTTTGCTCTCTCCGTTTTCCAGCTCACATTGGCTATCTGATCTCATGTCCTCTGTCTTTTGTAAAATCAAATGTATTTGACATTTCTTTTTCCATGTATGATTTTAATCTTCCTTGTAAAATATTAAGCAAAATTGTAACTGAATGAGTACAATTAATTGCTAATTTGTGCATACTCGTGCACCTTCCTTTTTTAATGTAGGCATATATACTGATCCTTTCAAGTCTCCAGACCACAGAGTCTTATTCCATATTTATGGACAGAGCTATTACCATTTTAGCCGCTTTTTTCTCTTGCAGCTTTAAACAGTTCAGTGGGTATTTCATCTGTGCTTAGTCCTTTCCTTGCCATTCTGTTGCCTGTTGTAACTCACTTTCTAGTTGGAGTTGTTTCAGAATATATTGTTGTTACAATATATATGCTGTCTACAAATGTTTCTGTCATTCTACAACCCCATTTGTATAGTAAAAGGGTTCAATATAAGTCTTTCATCTTCCTTTAACATTATTGGCCTCTGTCAGAACTCTTCCATGATTCATTTTTAGTATTCCTACCCTCCTACCCTGGCTATACATTTTCCTGTGACTTCTCTAATAATCTTAAAAGGATCTCTCAATTTTCTTGTTTTATCTCTCCATTTCATTTTTCACTGCAATATTTTCCTAGTCTATCTTGTGGATATAATCTACATTCAGTCATCATATTCTTCCCCAATGTTCCTCCTCCATCTTTCCTTGGCTTTATTCTAAAAGATACTTGAAACTTTTTCTTTTGAAATGTTGGGAAAAAATTTTCTGCTTCAGTTTTCACGTACTAAATCTGTTCTTTTCATTGGTCTTATTTTTCTACTGTGTTTTCCCAGTTGTATTTTGCTGGCACTCCTATTCTCATTTTTCTAGATTTTATATACATATTTGTGACCAATAATTCATGGTCCATTTCACAATATGAACCTGGGTGTGTCCTGGCACTCTTCTTTTGAAGTAATCTCTGCTTTTGATGTCCATCTGGTAATATCATAAAAGCCTGTGCTTAAGTTGCTTGAAGCAGGTGCTGACAATAAAAAGACTTTATTAACCTATCTCTTGCAGAATGGCATTTACCCATGATTCTGGGTTCTGCCTTTTCTCCCACCTTGGCACTCCAGTCACCAAACAATGGTATTTCATCCTTTCTTGGCATTGTCATTTATAATATATTTAGCAATGGTTTGTACTGTAGCTCATTTAATGATTTCCTTTTTGAGTATCATTCCATCATATATACTCATGTCCAGAATTATCAGTCAGTCATCCAAATTAGTGGCCTGTTCTGGTTCACTTATTCCTTAAACATGCGGTTTAATGTAGTCATATTTACTTTGACAAGTTCAAGTTTTCCTTGGTTTGTATTCCTCCCATTTCCATTGCTTTCTTTGTGCTGCATTGAGATGTAAGTGCAGACCAAGTAATAATAATACTGTACCTATTACTCATGCCCTGAGTATGCATCCTTGAAAAGAAAGAACTTCTCTTTCAATATTAACACCATCAGTGATAAACTTCCTTGTGGCAAAATTCTTCCTACATCATCCCCTCCAGACCTCCTTGTGGAAGACCTGTACAGGTAGTCCTTGGGTTATGATGGCAATTGGGACTGGACCTTCCATTGCTAAGCAACACAGTATTAAAGTGTGACACTGTGTGACTGCATCACTTAGTGACGGCAATCCCAGCAGTCCTGGTTGCTGTTGTAACCCCAGGACTCTGTGGGTTGTTAAGCAGGAAAAGGCAGGAGCCCCAGGCAAGAAGCAGGGGGGTGGGGGTGTGCAGGTGCCGCAGGGGGTGAGGGATACTGCGGGCAGGTGATACAGAGCAGGGGTGGGCCAGCAGGGGTGGAACATAGGGGGAATGGGGGGCTGCAGGCAAGCGCATGCTATGGAGCATGGGCAGGTGGGGGTGCTGTTGGTGGGTGCATGCCCTATGGAATGCATGTGGGCGGGTGTGTGCTACAGAGTTAGGCGCTTCTCCGGAGAAAAAGCAGTGAGAGGGGCTTAACAGGAGCGACTTGCAACCTTCCCTGCTGGCTTCCCCATTGACTTTGCTTGTGGGAAGGTAACAAATGGCAATGAAGTGACTGTGGGGGTGCTGCAACCATTGTAACTGTAAGCCGGTTGCCAAGTGCCCAAATTGTGATCATGTGACCGTGGAGGTGCTGCAGTGGCTCTAACTTTGAGGACCGGTTGTAAGTACCACTCATTCAGCACCATCGTAACTAAAAATGGTCCCTGAATGAGTGGTTTCTTACTTGAGAACTACCTGTACTCTTCCTAATTATGTG